GCGCGTACAATGAACCACTACTCAATAGGCAGAGCCAGGATTTCTAGATTTTTGAAAAAGAAGACAGACTTGGTGGCTCACCCCCCGCAAAAAGAAGACCGTTGAGGCTCGTTTCTCTGCAATGCACACTTCCATCACTTCACCCAGGCTAATTTCAACACCATTTTGAAGGACCTTCTACTCCAATCTCCTTCTCCCCAGAGCTGCAGCCCCTGCTGACTCTTCACTCTACTTTCCGTTGTTCCAGCTGTTCTCCTCCTATCCATACTCTCAAACACTATCATCTATTTAATCTCCTCCTTCGCTCACCATTGATTAAGTGAGGATAATTGCATCTGCTGAGGCCTCTTGTCACCTCTGCTGCTGCCGCTGCCTAGGCTGGGTCACTTATGACTCAGCTTTCCACAGTGCTCAGATTTTGCCTCTTCTCTCTTGAAAAGCAGGCTTACAACAGTCATGAGGCGTAGGTGAAAATTAAATGCAAGGCATAACTTATTTTAAACCTGTCCCAGCAATCTTTCTGTCTAAATCCCTAACAATGTTTAATTGGCCCTTCTCTGAACTCCAGCCTCATTGATCCCACTCTGATAACGAGGTCTCTGAAGCCAGCCCTGAGCAAATATACCAGCGGCCATTTCATCGGTGCTCGGTGGAGAGGTCAACGGCAACGTCTTCATTCCCGACAAACTTGCCGATGCTCCAAGAGGACAGGGACAACACCGGGACTCAGTACACCCCACAGACGGCTGACAGGACAACACCGGCCAGCCCCTACCCCTCCTTAAAGGCCGAAAGCTTAGTGCCAAAAACGTTTGGCGTTGTTTGCTCAGTTCTCCTGAATGGGTAATTCCGAAATCACATTTCCCACGCCGTGACCTTGCCCTTGTTCTCTGCCTGATACCAGCAGGGGAGGCCAGGAGAGGGAAGAACCGGTGGCTCAGCGGGCGGGCAGGGTGTCCCACGCTGCTGCTCAGCTGGCAAAGCCAACTTCCTCCCCCAGCTTCATCCTTCCACCCATCAGCAGCTGTGTCCCCCTTCTCCGGTGCCAGCTACTCAACACCCCAGGGCAGGCAGAGCCTCATTAAAACCCCACTGCCAAGGGAGAAGAGCAAGCTCAGCAGCAGAGGGGGATGGAGCGGGTACGTGCCAGGCGCTGGTGGGCTTGGGGCACGGTCATAGAATCACAGAATGGTTTGGGTTGGAAGGGACCTTAAAGATCATGGAGTTCCAACTACCCTGCCCTGGGCAGGGATATCTCCCACCAGACCAGGTTGCTCAAAAACCCACCCAACCTGGCCTTGAACACCTCCAGGGATGGGGCAGCCACAGCTTCTCTGGGCAACCTCCCAGGTCCCCTGACACAGCCCGGGTACCAGGCAGCATCCCTCTCCCGCACATGGTGTCACTCGCGTCCCAGCTGCCACCCCCTGCCTGCACTCCCCACGCCTCGCTCCATCCCTTTTTGCATCTAAAGTTGCAAACGGTTCTTACTTTTTATTTTTAAACCGACAGATTGAGTCTTAATTATTTAAGCACCTTCCAGATTTAGCAGGCTGTTTTGGCTGCGAAAGTAGCACTCGGTGCAATCATCTCTCATCAATAAACCATGGAAACAAATGCGTACCCCCGTTGGGAAACAACTTTTATTTAAAGCACAGTGAAAAATCAAGTTCAGATTTACAGATGGGAAAAGACCTAACGCTGGTCACGTTTCAGTGAGCGCAGGACACTTTAGATCAAGTGAGAAAAGACAGGACTTGCGCCTTATTCCATTAATTTTGCTGGGAGCAGAACAGAACTGCTCAACTCCCCTCAGACAAGAAGGGATGCCTCGGAAACATCCAAAACCCAAACCTGGGCAAAGGGCCTTCAGAAAGGCCTACTCACTGGGAGTAGGTGGACAATACAGTGTCCACTCGCTGGTGGACAATAGGATGACCATGAGCCACCAATGTGCCCTTGTGGCCAAGAAGGCCAATGGCATCCTGAGGGGCATCAGGAAGAGTGTGACCAGCAGGTCAAGGGAGGTCATTGTGCCCCTCTGCTCTGCCCTGGGGAGGCCCCAGCTGGAGCACTGGGACCAGTTCTGGGTTCCCCAGTTCCAGAAGGACAGGGAACTGCTGGAGAGGGGACAGCAGAGGGCTACAAAGATGAGGGGCCTGGAGCATCTCCCTTATGAGGAGCGGCTGAGGGACTTGGGTCTTTTTAGTCTGGAGAAGAGAAGGCTGAGGGGGATTATGATCAATGCTTCTAAATACTTAATGGGAGGGTGTCAAGAGGATATGGCTGGTCTTTTTTCAGTGGTGCCCAGTGACAGGACAAGAGGAAACGGGCACAAATTTGTACATAAGAAGTTCCACCTAAACATGAGGAGGAACTTCTTTACTTTGAGAGTGGCAGAGCCCTGGAAGAGGCTGCCCAGAGAGGTGGTGGAGTCTCCTTCTCTGGAGACATTCCAAACCCTCCTGGACACGTCCCTGTGCAACCTGCTCTGGGTGGCCCTGCTTTGGCAGAGGATTGGACTAGGTGATCTCCAGAGGTGCCTTTCAACCCCATGTGATTCTGAGTTGTGCTGGCTTTTGTTTTTTTTTTTTCCAAAATGTTAAAAGACATAGGCAAGGGAAGTTGCAAGTGCTCAATGCCTTACTGAAAACTGCTACAAAGCTTCAAATCACACACACAGAAATCATACAGGGGTTCGGTCCTTCCAAGAGATGTGGGAGCGGTGTGCTACTACCCAGGAGAAGAAGCTCCTGGATGTTGGGTTGGCGTGGTGGGCCTTGATGGCTTCACCTGGACGTCCACCTTCTACAGCCACCGAGGAAGCTCCAGGAAAGCCTTTTCCCCCTCCAGCTTTCCCAAATTGCTCCTCATTGAGCACAGACACCCGATCCTGAATAAAAGCCATGCAAATTGCTGCTCAGGTCCTCTCCTTTGCAAAGCAAAGCCGCTCTTATTTACGGAACATTTTAATTTAATTAGCAAAGAGACGGAACAAACTCTTAGGGGGGAAAAAAAAAAAAAAGAAATTAAAAGGTCATTTTCCAGCAGGAGGGGGTAGGTTGAGAGGGGGAGGTGGTGGAGCCTCCTTCTCTGGGGACATTCCAAACCCTGCCTGGACACATTCCTGTGCAACCTGCTGTGGGTGGACCTGCTTTGGCAGGGGGGTTGATGATCTCCAGAGGTCCCTGCCAACCCCGTATCGTCCTGTGATGCTGTGAGGGAGGGAAAGAACCGAGGTGCTTGTGAAATTAAAAGGTCATTTTCCAGCAGGAGGGGGTAGGTTGAGAGGGGGAGGTGGTGGAGCCTCCTTCTCTGGGGACATTCCAAACCCTGCCTGGACACATTCCTGTGCAACCTGCTGTGGGTGGACCTGCTTTGGCAGGGGGGTTGATGATCTCCAGAGGTCCCTGCCAACCCCGTATCGTCCTGTGATGCTGTGAGGGAGGGAAAGAACCGAGGTGCTTGTTTCCACCAACACCAAGGGTCCCTCCTCTGCCGCCCCGGTTGGAGCTTGTGGAGGAAAGGAAGGGCCTGGAGTGGGCAAGAGGGGAGTCTTCTTCTTCTCTTTCTTCTCCTTCTCCCTCTTCTCCTCCTTCTCCAACTTCTTCTCCTTCTCCTCCTCTTTCTTCTCCTCCTCCTCTTTCTTCTCCTCCTCCTCTTACTTCTCCTTCTCCTCCTTCTTCCTGGCAGCTGGAGAGGAGCCAGGAAGGATGCTTTGAGATTCCTTCCTGGGACACCCGACACTGCGAGGAAACGGGCTCGGGTGCGGAATTACACCCCCCCCAAAAAAAAAAACCCGGTGTGTGTGTGTGTGTGTTATTGTAGGCCCGACTTAAAATGTTTACGTCACCCCCCGCCTTATATTCAACAGCGTTACAACCCGGCACAGCCCCTCGCCCCGAAGGCAGCCGACGGACCCACGGCCTTTAAGCTCATTAAGCTCATTAAGATGGGTCTTTAATTACACACACACACACATACACACCCCATATTGTTTTACGCTGGGGCCTCCCCTCCGTAACGCAGCCTTTACCCCCCCCACCCCCT